TCAACAATACCAAATCCAGATTCTGATATCGTATCACACAGCCACGTCATCGTCATTGCACCACAGACTAGAAGAAATGCTGTCACCATTACATGTTTGGCCCTGAATAAGACTCAAGCATCAGGAAAATGGATGATAGAATTTTAAAGTAAAATTTTTGCTACTCCGAACATGAATAATCCTAATTAACTTACTGAGAGGTGGCTGCAAAAACTGAATATTGGAGAGAAGAGCAAGCCACCACTATAGCTTCAACTATAGCAAAGAAAAACGATAGCCACCATCTAAAAATTAAACAGAACAAATAAACGATTAAGTAACTTTGTTTAATGAAACAAAAAAGTCATAAGAGCTTCAAACAAAGGTATTGCATCTTAAGAATTCTTCTCACGGCTTGAGAGGAAAAAAAAACTAAACACACATATAACTCTTGATCTTCTCGTGACCATCCAAGCCTTCCTTTCGCAGCTTCACCAAGGATGGAAGAACGTGACAAAGCACCTGACGCAAAACATTTTCATCGATATCATCAAATCACAATCTTCTTAATATTTAAAGAACAAACAAATTTAGGCAAGCATATCAAATGAAGGGGAGATCTGAACCTGCATAATTATGGATGCTACGATCTGTGGACTGAGCCCAAGCTGAAAGAGCGAAAGCTTGATCTCTGCTCCGAACTCACCCAATTCCTCTGCCAAACACAAGGATGTTAACTACAAACTCAGATGTGTCAAGCGAACAAGGGATTATTAATGGGACTCAAAAGGCATGTGAACACTAACCAACAGAACCCGAGACAAAGCTCAGGTAATCTTGAGGTATTAATCTTCTGTCAAATCCAGGTAACGGGATAAAATATCCAACACGGCTAACGACAAGCAATACAGCCGTCACAAACAATCTCCTCCTTATCTCACTCTTAAAGAATCTTTCTGCTGCGCTATTAAGTACTGAGCTTATGCGAACAAAATCAAGAAACCGATTTCTAAAAGACTTTGGCGTATTATCTTGTAGCGTCTTGGAGACAACAGAGTTCTGAGAAACTCCATTTTCCTGTGACTCTGGAGGAATAATCTCCACATCCAAAGCATCTGTATCCATCTCCTCATTTCTGAGCTTATCAGAATAATTTATCGAAAAACTCTTCCCAATTAGATGTCTTCTGTTCATCTCCATAAAATGGATTTCTCTCGTTCTTGACAGATTCAAATTCATAGTAAGGCATTTTCTGGATTGAAATGATTGGTAACACCGAAATGGGTCCCCTGCAAAAACATCAAGGAGACAAACAAATGCATCAACAATTGTTTCTGTTGATGTGAAAAAAAAAGTTAGCTTGATTGAGCAAATTGCAGGAATAAGAGAACTAATCCAATAGATAGTATAAGTTTCAAAGTTTTGAACTTTATAGCAACAGTGAGAAAACCCAGGTCGATTCTGTGTCAGAGAACTCGAAATTAGGGTTTTTTACCAACTCGAAGCAACGAGACTCTAACGATTGTATCCAGGTAAGAACTGACTGCGTTTATTCAATCTCTTTACTTTGATTCGGAAGGTTTGATTTTGAGGAAGGAGAAACTTACGTTTAGAGACGAAACTATATGAAGGATGCGAAAGCTTGGAGATTGGTTTGAGAGGAAAATCGAAGAAGCAAGCTTGAGAGGAATTCATGGAGAGGAGGATGAGAGAGAACGCGGCGTAGAGAGCCAAGGAAAAAGAAGAACATCGGCTTGGGTTTAGCCTTTCTCAAGGAGTGTTATTAACTCTTTCGAACAGGGAACAATGCTAATTAAAAAGAATTTAGTTGTATTAAAAATCCATCATTTTGATGGTTATCGATCATCAAAATAAAAACAATTAATTAAATCGATATTTTTTTAATCTTTCTATCGTTTGCTCTTTGTTTTGGATAATTAGCATAAATACCAGCAACAAAAAAATTATATCTAATGACTACTCCCTTTGTCCCAAAATATAAAATATTTTAAATTTTTTTATTTGTTTCAATATATAAGATATTTTACTAGTTTCTATGCAGATTTAAATGTCATTTGATTATTTTGACATTTTGAACTATATAGTCTTTTATGTGATTTGTTGGATTATATTTTTAACTAATTAATAAGTATTGTTTTGTTAAAAAAAAATTTCTTTTTAATTCCTGCGCATTCAGCTAAAACATCTTATATAATGGGACGGAAAAAGTATCATTTAGCAAATGAAGCAATTTTGGTTATTTACTTAATTATTATTTTTTTTTTTTTTGAGCAAATTAACTTTTTTGTTAAACCAAATACAAATGGTTTCAGATGGTTCATAACTTCATAAACTTTATAAAAGCATTACATTTAAATATGCAATCTCACAAAGTCTAAACAAGTAAATTGAACTAACAAACCCAAATACCATAAACACTTGTTCAAGAGTTCTTCTTCAAAATTCCTCTTTCATATTTTTGAGTGACCCCATAATATTCTCGTGGCTTTTTCAAAAACCACCTCGCTTACAAGCTCCTTATCTCTGAATATTTTCCTAGATTTTCCAACTACCTCTTCTTTAAATTCATCAAACTTGTTGAATTTTTTGGTGACTTTTTCAAAAAGCTCTTCTTCTTCAAGCTCGTCCTCAAACTTGTTGAATTTTTTGGTGACTCTTTCAACTACCTCTTCTTCAAGTTCATCCACGAATTCTCTCAATTTCTTCATTACTCTTACAATTTACCTCCTCACAAGGCTGACCAGGTTTCATCGTTTCACTCACTTTCCTCTCTTCAAAAATTAGAAAATCATCCGTTTTTTTCTCACACCATTTTGGACAGGAGAAATCTGGGAAATTTGTGACACGTAAATTTAAACTATTCTGAAATCGATGTAAATACGAGCCATCGATATCAGAAGCCGATGAGAAATTCCTCTTGTGGGGGACTCCCACTGTGCCTTTTTGTGAATGGGATTAAGCCTTTGGAGGTGCTTAGGAGCCTTCTTCTCACCACTGTCCACTAGCAAATACGGGAAGTGAGGCAATGATGAGATTAAACGAAAATTCTCCCTGAGTGCTGCTACAGAGAGCTTCGAGATTCGGCGGCCGAGAAACAGAGACATGGTTGTTGAATTCACCGCGACTCTACGATGTTTCCGAGGGAATCGGAGTTCCGATTAATCCAAGGATTTCACCAGAGAAGGCACGATGGTTGGGGAATCGCCCTTCTGCTTCGCTAGAGAGAAAAAAAATAGAGTTAGGGTTTGTGTCCTAGATTAATTTGCTAAACACATCCACATAACGATTTTTTATCGTTACTTTGATTTTCTGATTTTTTGTTATTATTTATAAAAAAAATTAGGGTTTTTGGTGATTAACAAAAAAATAATAATAATTAAAAAGTTAGAAAAATGGGGTACGTGACAAATTGTAAACCATTGGATTTTGGGTTTTGAATTACTTTTTAAATTATAATTTTTGTTGTTGTATTTTTGGCAAATTCTCCCAAAAATTTATCGTTTTTTTTTGTCACAAATTTTTTTATCCTTTTGTTACACAAATCAAATAATACATTTTTATTCACATAACCAACTTAAAATTCTTTTTTTTTTAAATATATAATCATCTATGTTTTTTTTTAATCCATGTTGACATAATGTCAACATTCCACTTTAAACCACATGTTGTTTTGGAGGGGAGTGGAAGGGGGTAAATTTTGGGTAAATTGTTTCATGTGGTAGATCATATACAATAGAACACAATTTTTGACCAA